TGCTTGACAAAACCATGCTGTGAAGTGGAAATAATGCTTTTACAAAAATGTTGCAGTTGGAAAGTAACCAGTTTCTCAAGCAGTTTGGGAATCGCAGATAGCTTAGCAATCCCCCGGTAGTTCTCAATAAGTGTTTTAGAGCCTTTTTTATGAAGCGGAATAATAAAAGATTCATTCCATCTCTTGGGAAGACATGCCAGCTCCAAGGATAAGTTGAATAAGATAGTGAGAGGATAGCAAAGGATATCAGAACAGTACCTTAGAACACAGCTAGGAACATTGTCAGGACCAGCAGAGAATGATATATAAGATATTGCTAAAGTTGAACGTCATGCCGACCTGTAGCACTATGTGCTACTACTGTAGCACAGCCTACCTACTAGTAATAAAAGAAATGCGAATAAGACCGTGATGAGAAAGGAAACGCGTTATTGTTTCTTTGTCAAAATAGGTTATTTTAGTGGTGTGTAAGACAGCTGCGTGTTCATGGTTTCACTGCTAAAGAATAACTGACTCATATCTAAATACGACGCGGCGCCATGCGTATACAGAAAATTTAGGGGAATAGGACTAATACATAAGAAATGACGACGCGTCGATCTGTGTTGCCCTGGTTATTTGGTATACACACGAGTATAGTCTGAAAAGTACTTAACCTAACAAATAAAATTTGGAAAAGTGGCAATTTATTTCTCAACATAATCTCCTTTTAGCTCAATACACTTGACCCAGCGATGCTCCAACCTGTTTTACCCGTCTGAAAATACGTTTTCTTGAGGTCTGCAAAATAGGCCTCTCTTGCCTCTGTGGTGGAAACAACAAAAGTCACATGGGGCCAAATCTGGAGAATATGGAGGATGGTGTAGCAGTTCGTAGCCCAATTCGACCAATTTGGTCGTGGCGAGTGCGGAAGTGTGAGCCGGTGCATTGTCATGATGGAAGATAACATTTTTCGTCGCCTAATGGAGCCGTATTCGGCTGAATAATTCTGTATAGTACAGCCCTGTGACCGTTTTGCCCTTCTCCAGGTATGAAGTGTGCCCCTTATTCCAAGTTGATTCCTCCGTTAGATAGGGAGCTTTACGAAAGCATGGGAATGGCTCTTAGCTCGTTCTGATCATCTATTTCCTTCTTATCTTTGGCCGAGCAAAGAAGTATCCGTCATCATATTTTAAAAGGGAAGGAAAATTCTGCTTAGACACGTGTAGTGCATAAAGAAGGAAAACCCCATACAGACATATAGAAAAACCCTTGTGCAATTCGGCCTGAAATAAACATTATTTTAAATGTCATTGTCATTTTAATGTCATTGTGATCGTGTTGAGGGACAAAATTTATAAGGTGAGAGAATATATTAATAGTGCCAATATCCAACATGACCAATCCCTTGTCAGGTGGCACAGCATTACGTCGATTCTGGCCAGGTGCATCCTGATAGGCTTTCCTTTTGGAGTTTTGCCTCGGATCGGAGTAGGACAAGGTTGAAGCATTAGAACCGCCCTATCAACCGCCATGGAGTCAATTGGACTCCCGTAGTACTTCGTAATTTGACTTCGTACCCAACTTTGATATTCTCCTGGACCGCCGATTGTGTGACGTAACCAGCAGCCCTAAAATACATAGTACATAGTTACATCAGTGATATTCAGTGAGAAAACAATACCCTTGCCTGCGAGCATGTGTGTGTGAACACTTTCGGCAGTATTGAATTACGCAAACACTTCCACGGCAAACCTCGATAGCTGCGCCAAATTTGCATCGACTCCCCTCTAATTAAAATTACGTATAATTTTCCCTTATTTTAATATTATAAATTCTTAATTTTCTTAATATCGCACATATGTAAACTCTAAGGAGTATGGAATATTTAGCATAGGAACTTAGCTTAAGTTTAGTTTCATAAGCAAACCAACTTAGTCTCGAAAGAGAGATCATTCAGGTATTTTCTAGCTGTATCCCTTCTCTTTTTTAATAAATAACAGCGAAAATCACCTCATCCTTTTGGGCCCAAAAATCGATGCAGAGTCGGCAAAGCTGAGCGAGTAAACCACCGAGATTAATTGTTTAACTTGATTACAATGGGAAATCCGTGACATATTTTACAATTCCTTTTAAGTAATAGCTTAAGTTGTATTTTTTTTGGGACTTTGTACTAAAGCTATTTTTGACTATCTTTAACTATCTATAATGAACATGAGATAAATTCTTTTATGCTAATAACATAGTTGTTGAATATGGGTAGTGTAAAGTCTACATGGAAGGGAAGGGAAGGGTATAAACGAAGGACCACAACATCTAGCCCTTAATTTATTAGGGTCAGTAAAATCAACCACCCAAGGATCGGCCAACTCCTACCGCTTTCCTTTCCAACTTCCGTACACGGTCTAGTTTGCCGTGCCCACGCTCCTTTTTCGGCTGAGCCAAGCCGTCCCCATTGCTAGTTTCAATTAATCTATTGAAACATTTAGCTTTTATGGAGTGCTACCTGATATCCCTGAAAAAGAGTGACTTCCGAAAACTCTTAATGTTTGATAATGGCGGCAAATTTACAAGGACTATGGGCCTCAATTTAAGAGGCATTAAGATAATCTTTCATTTATGTTTAATTTAATATCTGTCCGTATTCACAGTGGACAAAAGTATATAAATTAGATTATGAAGCATTAAAATGCTAAGAAATTGAATTTAGTTAAACAGGACCCTAAACAGCTCCATCCTCTAACCGGAGATCGAGTAGGTGTGTTCTCTTTAATCTTCTTGTTGTGTTGTAGTTGTCTAGAAGGTTTGTGGCGTTGGGGTTTAGCCCAATTCTGTCCCAATCTGCCCACATACCTGTTGGCAAACCATAGGACGTCGCTGCTGACCAAAGATACTTTCAGTTGGGTGTGAATGACAATGTTCTTGGGGTATGGGTGGGCCACAAACAGCATCCTGAGCGCCCTGTCTTGCGCCAGTTGGGCGATTCTGCGGTTAGTAGGGCTCGCTGTGCGCCATATCTAGATCCCATACGCCCAGATGGTCTTAAAAATTGCTTTAATCCGCTTAGCAGCTTAATCCTCAGCTTTAATCTGGAGCGCTTTTCCAGTAGCCAGTAGTTTTGGGGCTGTTTTACATCCTTTTGTTTCCATTTGTGCGGTAGATGGAGTCTCTCCAAGACGCCTGTCCAGAGTTATTCCCAATTGGGAGTGGGGTCTGGTGGTATTAGATTATAGGTCTGACCTGCGGGCAATCCCCTCTTCTCGGTGACTTCGCAGGATTTAACACGATGCTCCGCCTGCAAATCGATGGGTTGAGAATGATTAGTTGGCGGTGATTACAGTCAGATGAATCCTGGGGCGATCCGGCCGAAGCTAGAAACGCTGTTTCATCGGATGTGGCCATCAGGAAATTTTTCTCCGCGAGATTGGGCATATCGGCGGTGTCTATCAGTAAATGATTTTCCGTAACCCCTATGGTCTTGACTCAGACCTGGAACGATCGGTTTTGCAGGTACGAGATGAGAAAAGCGTATAATTGGTGCGGCACACTTCTTTTCATTTTCATTCGGAGGCCAGGGTACCAGACGTATATTCGCTTATGTGCTCCAGTTTTCTCATCGAGTTCGCCACAAGTGGTTCTTCTGGGTGCAGGGTAGCCACATCAAATCTGGAATCCAACTATTCTTTGGGTGACATAAAGTCTCTTTATAACGAAAAGAAAATCTCGTCGACTGGCTTCCTTGCATCATATTCTTCTCCTTGGACAAGATTGGTTTTGCGATGACTGTTTTCTGAGAGACTCGCCATTTTTTGCAAGATTTAAACCATCTATTGAATCTTGTAAGTATCATCGCGATCTTTAAGCAATCATTGGATCCTATTATTGGGTCATTGGGAAGGTAAACGGTGACGAAGGCATTTCACAAATGTATCGGATGTGTCACAACTGCCAAACGTAATGTTTACAGATATGAGAGGGTTCTTGGGTTTAAAAAGCTACGTTTCGCGTCAAAGATGATGTTGGATCCCTTTAAAGATGATGTTGGAGGCCTGGCTCCAACTGGAGAGAGAATTTCAAGTCAAGCCACAACCGCCATCTACCCTTGAAAATAAATCTTAATTATCCTATGTTGTTTCCTAATAATCCTACTTGCCAACAGGTGTTACTTTGAGCTCAGTAGGCAATTTAATAATAGAGCTCTCTCGACACACAAAAACTATACTCTACAAGACGCTCATTCTTCCAGCAGTTGTATACGGCGATTAACGCTGGACAGTTGCACAGTCACATGCAGCTGATCATGGAGTGTTCGAGTAAAATTCTTCGCTAAATCTTTCGTCCAATCTTCACCAAGTGTATCTATGAGCTGGATAAGCTATATGGTGATGATGACCAGCCAGTCGAATAAAGACTCGAAGACTTCAAGTGGCAAGGTCATATTGCCCGTATGGAAGAAGACGGTATTGCCCCGCTCGTAAGGTGTTCGCTCGTAAAATGGCGATTGTCAGGATCAGAGGAGAGGAAGACCCCGGATGCATTGGCAAGACCAGGGAATGAATGCCTTGACAGGGACGCGAGGAGGAATATTCAGGCTTTGACCTGATAGGTTTGTAATGGCTCAATAATAATAATAATCCTATGTTTACTATATCTTCCCTATAGTTTTTATTCGTCACAAGCCGAACTTTTCGACACAAGCCGAACTGTTATTGTTTTTCGAATGGAGAAATAATATTTATAGAAAAATCTCAATGACTAGAAATAAATCTTCTTCCTTTAAGAACTGAATTAAGTTTTTTAAATTACATTTGTAGTTAAGTTTAACAATATAATTAGAAGAATTAGTTTGTTAACTTTATTTTCTATAAAATAAAATTTAATTGCCTTACCCGACATTTTAAATAAATGCTCGAAAATGTTAATTTTTATTTGGAAATCAAGTACAATATATTTTTTAAAATAAATTTTCACAATGATCTTAAATAATTTTTTTAAAGAACACACAAATTAAATGTACTTACAATTGTTTCGATCTCCACCAAATAATTTATGATATCGAATAAAATCCGGACGTCCACCAAGGTATCTTCCGTTCTTATTTAAAACCTCTTTTATTAAATCAATATTGTTAACCACTAAACACCGCGTGTGACCCAGAGTTAGAGAATAGATGTCTCCATATCGTTTTGTTAGTGAACTGAAAGCCTCGAATGGATTTTTTGAAAATCTACCGAGTAAGTCCAAGTTCCCCACAATTGGCCAAGGTAGTGGACCAGATGCTTGAATAAACTTTCTCATTTCATTTTTTTTATTGAAAAAACCGATTGAAACTAATGCTTTTTGTCTGAATTTTTTTAATATTAGTATGAAGGAAATCAAACTAATTATAAAAAAAAGAATGAATATAAGATAAAGCACCGTAAAAAGCATATTAACACGTAAAAATTGAGTATTTTGTAAACAGAAATCAATAAACTTGCTATTGATTGATATTATTTATTATTGGATGAAACTGACAATACTTGTTCTATGTCTAGCACATTCTGCCTAGTTGACATTTAAATTTTTAGCTTATAAGATCGAACGAATTTTATATGCACAACCACATTAAAAAATCGAGAACAAGTAATATATTTTCAAAAAAAAAATCGTAATAAATAAAATCGATTAAAATGCGCATACTAAGCAAACCTTTAAAGTGGTTCCTAAAAACTTGTTCAAGCATTGAACGCAATTTTAGATACAAGTTCCAAAGATAGAGTTTAAGGGATCGGACCCATGGAAATAAGAGATAAACAGCATTGGTTAAAACCGATCCTCTGCAGCCTAACACAAATAAATAAGTTTTGCGCTTAAATATGTTTTTATAAGCATCATAAACTATTTGAAAATATTTTGTTTAATTTATTCTTGTGTAGTTTAATACACTTTATAGCATGCCAAATTATGCATATAAAAAAAAAGGTAGGTCCCTGGCGCAGGTGATTTCGACTGCTAGAGTCATCCGAAACAAAAAATTAGAACAGATTATTGTTTTGTAAGCTTATGGCTCTGTCCCGTACTAGAATGAAATATTTTCATCAATAAACAACAAAATGGCGAACTCACAAAACAAAAAATTAAAACAATTTATCTTAAATTAATGATAAAAAAAAAACTAATCATTAAAAATAAATGATTCTAGTACGGGACAGAGGTGTTACTTTTAAGAACAACATATCCAAATTTCAGCTAGATCGGTACCATAGAATTTTGTGAATCACCTGCGTTGCACACAAAAATGTCGTTCCGAGAAAAACGCGTTTAAAATTTTGACGCTACCGAGTAACTCATACTATTTGGTGTAGGCACGCTCTCGATTATGGGCTGTATCTCTGTCATTATTTGATATTTTTATTTGAAACTTTAACAGTACATTCTTAATAAATTTAAAATAAATAAATTTCTAATCTTAATAAAATAGATTTTTTCAACCTCACACATGAGACTACATCCTTAAGAAAGGGTCGCGTAGCATGTCAGCGTGCACTGCAGCGTGCAATTTGTCTTAAGTAGATTTAAGATTTTCATGTATTTTTCGTGTAAGAGAATTATATGAAAATTAAACAGTTTTCCAAACGGAACTCATTACAGTAACTCCTTATTACTTGGCGCTCCTCTTGACAAAACTAAAAATAATCAGATAATCTGAGAGAAAAAGTCCTAACAAGAAAGGAAAGCTAACTTTGGGCGGAGCCGAAGTTGATATACCCTTGCAGTTAAAACCGGATATATATAGCAAACATCGGATATAGTTGACCGATTCTTATGAGAATATGATAATATAACCCAATTTATTATAATACAAAATTTAAAAAAAGTCCCAAACTTCTATCTTCAAAAATAGCAAAGTTGGTATTTTTACCAAAAACCATTTCCGATATTTCAGCTATAAGATACAGTCGACCGATCGTTATGAAATTTGGTAGGTCGGATTATCTGACCAAAAATAGAATCTGTACTAAGTTCAAGCTTTTTATCTTCAAAAACACGAAAGTTCGGTTATTTCCGATCGTTCAGTTATATGGCAGCTATAGAATATAGTCGGCCGATCCAAAAATAGCACATTAAATTTGAACTCCCTAACTTTAAAAACACCAAAGTTATACAATTTCCGATCAATCAGTTATATGGCAGCTATAGGATATAGTCGGCCAATCCTAGCCGTTCCGACTTATACACTGTGTGCAAAGGAAAGAAGGGTGTTTGCAAAGTTTCAAGACGATAGCTTTAAAACTGAGAGACTAGTTTGCGTTGATACAGACAAACTAGTCTAGAAACTAGACAAACTTATATCATTTCAGGAGGTAATCCTGATCAAGAATATAGAGACTTTATAGGGTCGGAGATGTCTCCTTCACTGCGTTGCACACTTTTTACCAAAATTATTATACCCTCTGCAAGGGTATAAAAACTAAAACTATGTACCTCTAGTCAGCGAGTTGAAAAATATGTTCCAAAAACAAATAAGAAGAGAAAGTCAGAGCAGACTATATATTGGCCTCTGTTTGTTTTTTTTTTTTATAATTCTGATTGCTTCATGGATTGCGATGGTTTCAGCTGTAAATACAGAGGAATATGATGGCAGGATATTAAAATATTTGTTTCCGTCGTAATGGCGTATGTTATGTTGGATGTTATTTTTGATCCATTACTGAATATGCAGTTGTGTGAATTAAGGTTTGCTTTTATGTCTCGTATAGTTTCTGTTATGTTTCTTTGAGTGTGTTGCTATTTTTATGCAGTCGAATCAAAACAGTCAAATTTTGGTTTGTTTTTACATTATTTTTGTAGATCGTAGGGTGGGTTAAGTTCCATGCAAAGGCTGTTTGGCTGTATGAAGATTTCGTTTTAGTTCTATTTGTGAGTAGGTTATTTATTGTATTGGATTGAAAGGCACACAGGGCTAGCTTAATGGGTTCAATTATATAATTATAATTATAATTATTTGAGATTTTTGATAGATCGATCCTATCCTATAACTGCCACATAACTGAATGATCGGAAACGCTACATCTTCCTTTCATAACTAGAATGCAGATGCAAGCTTAGGTATATTTTTTTAATTGATTTAAGCTTAAATTCCTAAAATGATCAGTCAACTATATCTATTACGTATACGAACTACCGAACTGAGCGGACGTGCTTTGTCCGAGCTCCGGGAAAACTGCACCATAATACAGTTAAACAAAAAAACTGGGGTAACCCAATATAAGCGAAAAGACGCTGAACTATAATTTACTAAAAGCAACAGACAAGCTTTTTATAACAGTTGTGATGTGCTAAACCAAAACTAGTGCATTGTTCAAAAAAAAAGTAAGAGCCACGTAATGAGCTCATTGAGCTCATGAGCAAAAGTAATGAGCTCATTGAGCAACGATCAAAAGAACGAGCGTAGAAGTTCAGTGAACCAAAGAAACGGCTTCTACTCTTACTTTTCAACCCGCGATACCGAAGTGGAAAAATCGGCGATTATAAGCAACCCGGCTTTACTGACCGCTGAAACCCAAAGGGCAACCCAAAGTGAGCAAGGTCTTGCTCACCCGCTCTGCTCACTCCGACTCCCGCGTCATGGAGTTCGCAGTGTAAAACCCCCCCTCCAATATCGGAAACAAATTTCGCACCAACAACAAGCAGCGCTACAACTTCTGCAACAACAGCGAAAACCCCTGCAACTCAAAGTACCACGACGTCAACGACTACAGCGAGTACAAAAACAACAACCTCGGAAAGTGCCAAAGCGGCAACGGCCACACAGACTGGAATGGATCGCTACATCCAAATTAAGCGCAAGCTTAGCCCGCAGAGTAATCCGGCAGGCAACAAAACAAAAATTAACCGTGTTCTGAATAACGATAATGAACCAGACAGATCCACTACTAACAGATTTGCCCTACTGGCGGAGGCTGAGGAAAACCAACCAGCCCAAGACACCGCAAAAAAACCCAAGCCCCCTCCAATCTATATTAGGGAAAAAGCTCGAGTGCCCTGGTCAACAAAATTGCGTCGTTGATCGGGAACGGTGACAACTTTCATGTTGTTCCGCTTATCAAAGGGAACATCCATGAAACAAAGGTGCAAACCAAGACTGAAGAGCACTTCCGAATCGTGTCCAAATATCTGGACACTGTACAGAAACACTATTACAAGTACCAGCTGAAAAGCAGTAAGGGCCTACAAGTGGTAGTAAAGGGAATAGAACCTGATGATACCGCCGCGGAATTAAAAACCGCCCTTAAAGAAAAGGGCTTCCCCACCAAGAATGTTATTAACATTCTAAATAAAGATAAAAAGCCAACACCCCTCTTCAAGGTCGAACTCGAGCCAGAAAGCAGGTCGCTGAAGAAGAACGAAGTCCACCCAATCTACAACCTGCAATATCTTTTGCATCGGAAAATCACTGTTGAAGAGCCACATAAACGCAACGGTCCAATGCAATGCACTAACTGTCAAGAGTATGGACACACAAGGTCTTACTGCACACTTCGGGCTGTCTGTGTAGTTTGCGGTGTCGCCCACAAGTCCGCTTGCTGCACTACAAACAAGGACAGTACCGTGAAGAAATGTGGAAACTGCGGAGGCAGCCATACAGCGAACTATAGAGGATGTATGGTGTATAAGGAGTTAAAGAGTCGCATGCGTCAAGCGACTGCAACGCGCAACCAAAATCCACAGAATGCGTACATTGCGTCAAAAACTACGCCAGACGTCTTCTTCGCCAAAGCTGCGAGATCCTCATTCGGTCCACTAAACACCACCAACGGCTTCTCCTACGCCGATGCTCTACGATCTGGAAGGGAAATTCCAATTCAGCCTAACTCTCAAAGCGCTCAACAGGCCCCAGAACAGCCACACAGCAAAATGGAAACTATCATGCTTACCCTCCAACAAAGTATGATGGAGCTTATGTCATTCAAGAAAACGACCATGCAAACGCTTGTTCAAATGCACGCATGCACAAAAGTCTAAATAATCTATGCAGACGCTACGAATATCAATGTGGAACGCCAATGGTGTCTCACGGCATAAACTAGAATTGTCACAATTCTTAACCGAAAACCATATTGACGTTATGCTACTGGTGGACACGCATCTTACAAGCAAATACAACTTTCATATAAGAGGCTACACAATCTACCGCACAGATCATCCAGATGGGAAAGCCCACGGCGGAACTGGAGTTCTAATCAGAGAACGCATTAAACACCACTTTCACAAAAGGTTTGCAACAAACTTCTTGCAGGCCACATCGATACAAATTCAGTCAAGCAACGGAATCCTTTCAATCGCTGCCGTTTACTGCCCTCCTCGTTTCTCAATCTCGGAAGGACAATTCACTTGGGGATCGATTTATAGCCGCAGGAGACTACAACGCCAAACATACGCACTGGGGATCACTTCTAGTGACTCTCAAAGGAAGACAATTGTACAATGCAATTATATATGTGAAAAATAAACTGGTCTACGTTTCCCCTGGAAGTCCCACATACTGGCCAACAGACTCACGAAAGCTCCCAGACCTTA